AAGAGTGTTTCTGCATCCTGAGCAGCAGGGTGGAGAGGGAAGAACTCCAAATGCTCCAGTGGAGCTGGCAAAACTCACTGCCTGATGCTCTTGCCTAACTGACCTCCACGTCCTGGCCTGTGCCCTGGGCTGTAGATGACATTGCTTCTGTCAGCTCTTCCTTTCCCAGCAGGATTGGAGTGAGGAAGGGAAAACGTAGAGAAATGCTGGAGGCAACCAGAGGCTTCCCAAAAGCAAGGTCCTGCAGGAATGGCCACGTGCCTTGAATACTCACAGCTGAGCAGGAAGGGGTGCTCTTCCTCAGGAGTGCAAATATTCCCAGCTTCTCACTTGAAGTCAAATAAAGGGAAGGGAACTCAAAGGAGGGGAGGAATAAAGCAAAACTGGCAACAATCCTGAGTCTTGGGACTTGGACCTGGCCCCTGTGCTCCAGGTGCTCCTCAGCTGGGCAGTCTCGTTGCTCTCACACTCACCAGGTCTCACTCTCACCAACTTACTTGTCTGTAAACAGGAGGAGTCTCTGAGACAGAAGAGGCAGCAGCTGCTGGATGAAGACAAACGGACAGAGCAGGAAAGAGATGTATGTACATGTTAGGTGGGATGTGCCTGAGCTGTGGGGAGGGGCTGTGCTGCTGCTGGGGGGGCAGGGAGCACACTGGGGTTATGGATTTCAGAGAGGAAACTGTTGCTCCTTGATTCTGAGTCTGAAAATCCCTCTCTGGCTCAGCCTGGGATCTTGCTGGGAGTTTACTGAGCTTTGAGCTGTTTCCCAAAAGGAGACAGTCCTGTTCTCCCAGGAGTGGTGTGTGCACGTGTAGCTCTGGGTCCTCCTGTGACCTGTGCAGGTAGCAGGACCCTTGTAGGTGCTGTGCTTTCATTTTGCTGTTGGAGAAATTGCTGTGAGGGATTTATTTCATGTTTTTCTTTTAGGAAGCTGCCTTAGCTTCTCAAGTCCGCCTGGAGGAGAACAGGAAGGAACATGCCAACCTCCTGGAGTCCATCCGGCAGCTGCGCAGGTCTCTGGAGGAGCTGCAGGACCAGAAGGCTGAGCTGGAGGCCCAGGTGGATTTGCTGCAGACCCGAAGCCAGAGGCTGCAGAAACGCATCAGGTATCTGTGTGGAAAATTCTCTCTGACCCCTGTGGCCTGGACAGAAACCCCTCCAACCTCACCTGGACCTCTCCTGCACCTCTGAGCTGCCTGTGTGTTGGGCCATGTCCCTTCAGAACCCCAGGGGTGCTTGTAATGCATGATGAGGGCAGGGAGCTCCTGGGCTCTGTTTCCAGATCTATTAATAACTCGCTGTGGAAAATTGTCCCTTTGCCTCTGCTTGTCAGGTTAATGTTTGTCTTTAATGAAGTGCTTGGTGGGGGGCATTGGAATGTGAAGAAAAGATTTTCCCAAGGTAGCTGAGCTGGGTAAGGGTGTGAAGCAACATTTCCTGGCCCAGCCAGGGGTTATGTCTGAGTCACCCCACAGTGATCTTAGAGGTCCTTTCCAACCGTGACAATTTCTGTGGTTCCTTGTCTTGGCCCTTTCCCTCCTGGACACTGGAGGTCACTGTGGACATCATCACAGATAGATTCCTGGTCTAATCCAGTGCTGCCTCTTGCCTTTTCCTGGGGCAGTGAGCAGGAGGCAGCTGTCAGGAGCAAGCAGGAGACTTTGAAAGAACTGGAGGCAGAAGAAAGTGTGGAATCTCCAAGAAGGAAAGCTGAGCTCCACATTGAGGACCTGAGAGAAAATATTCAAGCTGTGAGTAAGGCAGACTGTAAAGGTGTCTGCCCTGTCATCCAACTCCCTTGAAAATCCCAGGGTTTGTTCCTTCTCTATGAACTCATTTGAGATGCAGGGAGGCTTTTTTCTTTGCCAGGGGACACCAATGTGTTTAGTAGCATTTGTTGATGTCTGTAATTAGCGAGGGGGAAGGAGTGTCAGGTACTTGAGTGCTCTTGGAGTCAAAAGCAGGGCTTGAGTCAGGGATAGAAATGTCTTTGTAACTGTTAACAAGTGACACAGAACATCCTGGTGGATCCGGGCAGCACCACAGTGATGTCGCGATGAATTTTTGCCCCTAACTGGATTCTCACAGAGTCCTGGGGTTCTGTTTCCTGTACATATTTCTGAGTTTCTGAAATGTTTCAATTCCTCAGCACTCATCCAGGGATCCTGCTTCCCCACCCTCTCCCAGCCAGGAGGACGGCGAGTTCCAGCTGGACCAGTGAGTGTCCACGTGCCAGCCGCGCTGGGGAACCTTTGCTTTGGTTTCATAAGCAAACATTTTGGCTTGGGTTTACACCCCTTGTCCTGGGGAGGGGGCTGCACGGGGGCCTGCAGGATGGCACAGCCTGTCTCTTCTGTCTAGTGTCAGGAGATACATCTCTGCAGAAGGGCTGTCCATCCAGAATGCCAAGGAGTTCCTGCTGCGCCAGACGCGCTCCATGCGGAGGCGGCACACGGCGCTGAGCGCGGCCACGCAGCGCTGGCGCCACGACATGCAGAAGGCACAGGAGGTGCTGCAGGATCCTGACAGCTCCCAGCTCCTGGAGGGGGTGCGCCAGAACCTGGAGGAGGTGAGTCCCCCCAGGGCTGCCTGTGCTGGGGTGTTGGGCGTCGGGGCTGCTCAGGGGAATCCAGAGCCCTGGGATGGGCTCCTGGTGCTGCAGCTGCTGTGACAGGCACCTGTGGCTGCTCAGTGCTCCTGGAAATCAGGTCTTGCATGTTTTCGGGAGAGATTTGGCCCTGTTTGTGTCCTCCTTATCGTAACATGAGGGTCAGGGTCCTTCCCCTCTCAGGTTGGCCATGGATCACTTCAGGAAGGCCAGGAGCTGTTCAGGAAAACAGTGAAAATACAGTACAAATGCAGTGAAAATACAGTGAAAATACAGTGTAAATGCAGTGAAAATACAGTGCAAATGCAGTGAAACCTCCTTTTCCTGGGCATGAACTTGCTTTGAGTGTGTGCTCTGCCCTCTGTACACTCCACTTTCCGTGCTCTTGAGGACTTGGGAGGAGTTTTATTCCAGCAGCCTGATTTCCCATGCTGAGTGGGAGTGAGACAAGTAAAGCCACCACGGCCACTAACGTAGATGATTTCCTGTCACTTCTGTTCAATTTTCCACTGCAGGAAGCAAAGCAGTTGGACGAGATGAAGTCGGCTATGCGGAAGGGACAGGTGCTGCTGAAGAGGAAAGAGGAGAAGCTGAGCCAGCTGGAGTCCTCACTGCTGGAGGAGGTAACCTGTGCCTGCCCAGACACTCCTGACCACAGCCTGTGGCCTCCTCAGGGCTGGAGGCTCTGCAGGGCTTTTGTCCTGGTGAGGGCTGCTTAGCTGGTGGTCAAAGATATGCTTGGCAGTGGACCTGGATTTTAGAAATACCATCTCTGGGAGCAGAGTGGTGTGTCAGGCTGGGAATGGGAGAAGAGAAGGCTGGCCAGAGGGTGGGGGAGACTGATGAGCTGAATTGGGCTGTGAGACCCCCATGACTTGCTGGGTCTGCAGGTTACAGGAGAAGCTGGGCTGGGGTTGGGTGGAGATGTTCTCCCACAGTGGCAACTTGCCTGGCAGAGCTGCTGGTGGTGGGGATGGACTTAGGTGGAGAAAACCTGCTGGGTGAAGGCTTGACAAGCTTGTTTGGATTGGAAATGAATTGATGTTGACCCCAGTGTGCTGGAATAGCTCACAATGTAAAGTAAAACCTCACACCAGGATGGTTAGATGTCTTGTTAGATGTTTTATTGACTGTCTGTATCTTGGTCAAGATGGCAAATACTGTGCCTTCCCTCTGCCTGAGACACTTAGAGTCACAGTTAAGTGTGTGGGTACAGAAAGCAGCTGGAAAAAGCCACATGATTTGAGCGTAGAGAAAACCAGGGCAGGTCAGCCCGTGTGTGCTGGGATGGAACCTGCTTCCTAAGCAAGGCAAGCCTGGGAATCTGGCTCTGCCCACGATCGTGTGGCCTCAGGCAGGGCAGCAGCAGATGCCAGTGCACGAGACCTTTGGGCAAGCTCTTGTTCTTGGTGCACAGAGAGCCCAGCCCATGCAAGAGTTCTGAGGCTTATTTGCAGCTCCAAACATCCTGACTTCTGCCTGGAAGGGCCTGTTGACACAGCTATCACCTTCTTTTGCCCAGCTTTCAGATGAAGACACGCTGAAGAGTGCTGGGTGCAGGAAGATGGTGACTTTTGATCTCAGCAGCTCTGAGGACACAAACAGCTCATCCAGTTTAAATCAGCCTAAACGTGAGTGCCTGGAGAGGCTGTGCCCCTTGTGTGATAAAAGACCTTGTTGTTTCCCTCCTGCCCCTCTGCTGTACCTCTGTTTTACCTCTGTTGTTGTCACTTGTGTTTGTTGCTGTCTGAGGCAGGTCTGCTGCCCGTGACTGGGACTGCTCTGTATGGACACTTGATTTGGGAAACTTATTTCCCACGGTCCTGGTTTGAGCCATTCCCTTTCCCTGATCCCTTAGCTGAGCTTGGAGCATAACATGGTGGGAAGTGCATGTTCTGCTGGGGAGACAGCATCTCCTTTGCCTTCCCAGTGATCCCTTTTTTCCCCTCTCTCTTCTGCCAGTTGATTTGAGAGCTGATGTACGGCCTGTCCCACAGCCAGACAAGGTCCAGTACTTGAAATCCTCTCTGCAGCACATCACCAGTGAGCTGAACGGGGTCCTTGGCATCTTGGACTCTCTGAACAGTCACCAGTCTCCACTCCTCACCTCAACGCCCCATCGTGGTGTCCCTCTGTCCACCTACACCTCCTTGGCAGGCCTGGGGGCAGGTGGCTCCCTGGGACCCCTCACTTTGATCTCAGCAGCTCTGAGGACACAAACAGCTCATCCAGTTTAAATCAGCCTAAACGTGAGTGCCTGGAGAGGCTGTGCCCCTTGTGTGATAAAAGACCTTGTTGTTTCCCTCCTGCCCCTCTGCTGTACCTCTGTTTTACCTCTGTTGTTGTCACTTGTGTTTGTTGCTGTCTGAGGCAGGTCTGCTGCCCGTGACTGGGACTGCTCTGTATGGACACTTGATTTGGGAAACTTATTTCCCACGGTCCTGGTTTGAGCCATTCCCTTTCCCTGATCCCTTAGCTGAGCTTGGAGCATAACATGGTGGGAAGTGCATGTTCTGCTGGGGAGACAGCATCTCCTTTGCCTTCCCAGTGATCCCTTTTTTCCCCTCTCTCTTCTGCCAGTTGATTTGAGAGCTGATGTACGGCCTGTCCCACAGCCAGACAAGGTCCAGTACTTGAAATCCTCTCTGCAGCACATCACCAGTGAGCTGAACGGGGTCCTTGGCATCTTGGACTCTCTGAACAGTCACCAGTCTCCACTCCTCACCTCAACGCCCCATCGTGGTGTCCCTCTGTCCACCTACACCTCCTTGGCAGGCCTGGGGGCAGGTGGCTCCCTGGGACCCCTCACAAGAGGGTCTCTGGAGGAGCCGTGGGCCTGGAGCCCTGGGCTGAGCTCCAGCCAGGCCTGTGCAGCTGGGCAGGCAGTGGATGCCATCCTGGCTGAGAAGTGGCGCAAGTATTTCCCCAGTGAGTCTGTCTCTGATCCATCTGCTTGCCCAGGGCTCTTCATTTCACAGCCTTGCAACTTGTCACCAGCTCACCCTTCCAATGCTGGGAAGGCCAGACCTGCTGGTGTTAATGGGATAAAGAATGAGAAAAAGGCTTCCTTGCTCCAGGAAGTGCAGTGTGTGGCTCATCGGGTCATCCTGCTTCCAGAGCTCTTCAGCCTTTAAAATACACCCCAGAATCAGTTAATAAAGGGAACAAAGGAGGACCAGCCCAGCTTTGCTGTGCATTGCAGATAGGGCTCACCAACCTGGTGGCCGTGCCACCCCTGTGTCCTCAGCTGCTGGCTCTGCTTCTAGGAACAGTGTCTTGTAGGACAAGAAAGCAAATGCACCCAGGTGTGAAGACTGTTGATTTGGGGGTCTGTATTTAATGTCTGTTTTCCAGGTGGGCTCCCAACACTCAGTGGGAATTCCAAGCCTCTGGACAACAAGCTGGGATATGTACCTGCAGGGTAAGGGTGTTTTTCCTGGAGTTGTTTCATTGTGGTTTTGCTGCTCTTTCCTTGCTTTTGTTTCTCTGGAATGATTTGTAGGTCACATTTCATGTAACAAGGAAGTAACAGAATTAGAAGTTGGGTATTATTAAGCAGACAAGTTAGACACAAGCACTGCCTTTTGAAGCTGCCCTGGTAGCTGTGCTGAGAACCTTCATGCCAGGACCAGGGTCCAAGGTTTTGTGTGCCCCATGGCTCTGCTGTGAGCAGTGCTGGGGGGTGATGGAGCCAGGGCTGCCACCCAGACCTTCCTGATGCTGCACAGACAAAACCAGCAGCCTCGTGGTGGCGGCTGCTGCAGCTTTTATCTGGGATGTGGTTGGGCAGAGAACTTGGAGCCAAGAGGAGGTTGCTTTGTTGTTAGCCATGGCTCTTTCTGAGGCAGCCAAGCATTTAATTTGTCCTCTCCATCTCTGCCTGGTCCTTTCTTTCCCACTTGCACTGTCTCTCTCTCATGCAATAGAGAGCAAATACGGCAGTTCCAGCACTCCCAGTTCTGGAGTCGGGACTCAGACAAGATGAATATTCAAGGAATGATTGAGAGCAACAAGAAATGGCTAGAAGACTTCAAGAGGGATTCACAAGTGTATCCTTTGCCTGAGTCTGGTCTTTAATGGCACTCCAGCTGCCTGCAGCAGGTAGAAGGAGACAGCAGGAGGTGAGTGAGTCAGGAGCACTACAGCACTGAACAGCAGTTGCGAAGCCTCAGCCTCTCCTTCAGTGTCCAGTTCCACAAAGGAAAGTAGTGTTTAGCAGTTAGAGTATGAGTGACCTGCTTGCTCTTCTTTGAGCTGTACTTGACTGAGAAAGTCTCTTCCCTCTCTTTAGTTGTGCTGTGATGCTCTGTAGTGCTGCTGCTCTGCCACGACACACAGCAGCTGCAGCTGCCGATGGGAGAGTTTTACAAAAATTAACCAAACAGCACAGAAGGGAGGAGGTGGCAGGGAAGCATGTGGGGCAGCACATGGCTGGGCAAGGAGGGCTGGGGCTCCTGGCCAAGCTGTTCTTTCAGCCTGGGTCTGCAGTTGGATGCAGTGAGTGAGAGCTCACAGCACTGTTTGTGGGGATATTTCTAGGCTGGTGGTGTAACAGCATTATGTTGCTGTCGGGATCTCCTTGCAGTGTACACTGGTATTAGCAGCAAATCCCTCAGGGTTGCTGCTCTGACAGCACACGGTGCTCCTTTGGATTCCCTAATCCCCCTGTAATTCCACTGGAGTTGGATGCAGCAGGATAAACACAGTGTGTGTGCCAGGAGGGCTCCTGCCCTGTACCTGTCCTGTCTGCCAGGCTCCTGCCTGCCGATCCCTCCTGTGAGCCAGGCTTTTCCTTCACCCACCTGCCAGACCTCTGTTCCCAGGTCCAGAGAAGACCACTGCCCGCAGCCCCAGCCTCCTTCAGCTAGGACTGGATGAAAACAGGCAAATTAAAGTCTACCATTACTGAGAGGTGGGACTGGGCTCTGGTGTCTGGGCACCTCGTGCTCTGCTTGCTCCCACCCTGGGCTCCAGCTGTGCCCCTGTGTCTCCACTGTGTCTTTGCTGTGCCCTTGAAAGAAAGTCTCTTTACAAGGGAGCAGGGGAAGGAGGGAGTGAACTTCCCAGGTGGATTCTTCTAATCCTGAAATGTGTCCAAATATACTTTATAGACTGTTTAATCCAGTGGTGAAATATCAGGGCTGCAATAAATCAACAGTTCTCTCATTAGTATTCTAGCAATTGTGAGCCAGAGCTGTGAATCATGGAGGACTTTGAGTAACTGGTCAAGGGGGAGAACGTGAATCCAGCTGAGACTTTGCTAGAGGAAATGTGCCAGGAAATGAGCCTGTGCTGATGCCCAGCAAATGCTCAATTGCAGGTGGGACAAGTCACGGCCTCTGACATGGGTGTGAGTAGGGGAGGACAAGCAGTGGAATGTCTGTGGAGCCTGGGGACAGAGTGGGAGGGTCTGGGACAACTGTTTGCCACAGTCAACTTGCTGCTGGCCTGCTGAATGCCACCAGCTCTCTGCTGGACACTTACACACTGGACTCTCCAGCAGGATAACTGCACAGGGGTTGGCAGAGGGTGTTGGTTCAGCACCTTGGAACAGGGCTGTGCTCAGCTCTGTGAGCAGACCCCAGGGAGCAGCAGCTCTGCTCTCTGCCAGGAATGGGTGTGCACACGGGGTCCAGGTGTGCCAGGCACACCATCTGTAGCATGGAAAATGAACCATCAGATAGAAGTGACTCAGTTGAGTGTATTATGAACAGCTTGTTTGAGGTCACAGCCCTGAACATCACTTTTAAAAGCTGTGTTTTGATTTTTTTAATTGCATTTGTTTAACGTTACTTTTAGAAAATATCTCATGTTTGATTGAGTTGCCTTTGTCTCATCATTAATTTTTCATGTTACAAATGGTGTGACTCATACACTCCTGTGGATATACTCAGTTTCCCTGAAGAAATCAGAGCCCTGTGAGCAGAGCTGCCTGTTCCTGAAGGGTGAGTTCACCGAGCTGAACAGGGTTCTGTTCCAAGGTACAGGATGAGGATCATCTGCTGATCCATGTACAGTTGTCCTGGCAGAGAGTTGTTGGTGTAGAAGTGTCCAGAGGATGGTTGGTGCTGTACAATTGTCCCTTTCTAGAGTGGGGGACAAGTTCTGACTCTTGGGGAACATTCCCCTCTTTTGGGGTCAAAGCCATAAGAGCTGAACCAGCGATGGCTTTTCATGATGGGTGTTCTGGAAAAGTGCTCCCTGCTCTGTACATATGCCCTGGTGGCAGCAGGGAGCAGGGGTGCTGAGGGCTGGGGGTGGTGATGCTGGTGCAGGTGCTGCTGAGGAACACAGCTGTGAGACAAAGCCCCACCTGTGAGACATCCCCAGGAAGAGGGAGCAGAGCCCAGCTCACTGCTGGGGTCTCCTTCCACACACTGGGGGGCAGACCCCAGCCCTGGGAGCCTGGGCTGGCTCCTGCAGCAGCTTGGTTGGACTCCGGGCACAGCCCCTCTCTGGGGCCGTGGAATGGGCTCCTCTTCAGGGCTGGAAACACAGCCGAGGGGTTGGGACACTCAGCTCTGCCCTCAGCTGCTGCTTGGCTCCCCGGGGGGCTGCAGTGGGGCTCCTGGGGAGGGGCTCATCCAGAAGGGAGCTGGGAGGGGGCAGATGGTGCTGCTCTGCCCAGCAGGGACCCATCGGGCTTCCGTGCTGCTGAGTGGGAAGTGTGGGATTTGATTGTCTTTGTCAGTATTTCCTCCAAGCTGACTTTAAATATTTTATGCTTTTAAAAACGCTGAACCATTTGCCACTTTGTCTGATGCAGAAAGACTGCATTTCAAGAGATCCCATCTGTGAGAAAACAGCTTCAAAGCCGCTCTCTCTGGAGACGGCTGGTGCAGGGAGGGTGTTGGGGGGCTGCTCTGCACCCCCCTGCTGTTGGTGTTCCTGGCTGTGCTGCTGACATGTGGCAGAGGAAAGCAGAGCCTCCTCCTGCTGCACACACCGGGTGCTGGCACCATGTCCTGGGGGCTGGCACCGTGTCCTGGGGGGCTGGCACCACATCCTGGGGGCTGGCACCACATCCTGGGGGCTGGCACCACACCCCAGAAGCTCACACTGTGAGACCGGGGGCTGGCTGAGCAGAGCTGCCTGTTCCTGAAGGGTGAGTTCACCGAGCTGAACAGGGTTCTGTTCCAAGGTACAGGATGAGGATCATCTGCTGATCCATGTACAGTTGTCCTGGCAGAGAGTTGTTGGTGTAGAAGTGTCCAGAGGATGGTTGGTGCTGTACAATTGTCCCTTTCTAGAGTGGGGGACAAGTTCTGACTCTTGGGGAACATTCCCCTCTTTTGGGGTCAAAGCCATAAGAGCTGAACCAGCGATGGCTTTTCATGATGGGTGTTCTGGAAAAGTGCTCCCTGCTCTGTACATATGCCCTGGTGGCAGCAGGGAGCAGGGGTGCTGAGGGCTGGGGGTGGTGATGCTGGTGCAGGTGCTGCTGAGGAACACAGCTGTAAGACAAAGCCCCACCTGTGAGACATCCCCAGGAAGAGGGAGCAGAGCCCAGCTCACTGCTGGGGTCTCCTTCCACACACTGGGGGGCAGACCCGAGCCCTCGGAGCCTGGGCTGGCTCCTGCAGCAGCTTGGTTGGACTCCGGGCACAGCCCCTCTCTGGGGCCGTGGAATGGGCTCCTCTTCAGGGCTGGAAACACAGCCGAGGGGTTGGGACACTCAGCTCTGCCCTCAGCTGCTGCTTGGCTCCCCGGGGGGCTGCAGTGGGGCTCCTGGGGAGGGGCTCATCCAGAAGGGAGCTGGGAGGGGGCAGATGGTGCTGCTCTGCCCAGCAGGGACCCATCGGGCTTCCGTGCTGCTGAGTGGGAAGTGTGGGATTTGATTGTCTTTGTCAGTATTTCCTCCAAGCTGACTTTAAATATTTTATGCTTTTAAAAACGCTGAACCATTTGCCACTTTGTCTGATGCAGAAAGTCTGCATTTCAAGAGATCCCATCTGTAAGAAAACAGCTTCAAAGCCGCTCTCTCTGGAGACGGCTGGTGCAGGGAGGGTGTTGGGGGGCTGCTCTGCCCCCCCCTGCTGTTGGTGTTCCTGGCTGTGCTGCTGACATGTGGCAGAGGAAAGCAGAGCCTCCTCCTGCTGCACACACCGGGTGCTGGCACCATGTCCTGGGGGCTGGCACCACATCCTGGGGGCTGGCACCGTGTCCTGGGGGGCTGGCACCACATCCTGGGGGCTGGCACCACATCCTGGGGGCTGGCACCACACCCCAGAAGCTCACACTGTGAGAGCACCCGGGGGATGTTTACATGCAAACAGAAATATATTTTTGATGAACAAGATTTTTAAACTCTAAAGAATGTTTAATGTTTACCTATGTTTTTTTTGGTGGTTTTTTTTCTGACTTTCTTAGAACACTTTTCATTACTTGGCCAGCCTTTGTCCTAGGCCAGCTTGATCCCCCAGTCAGGGCCATGTTCTCCCACCTTCTGCTTGCTAACAAGGTTCCTTCTGCAGGCACTGCCACTGGTGTCCCTGATGAGGAAATTCTGGCTGGTTCTCATGGCTCTGGCTGAGGGGAGAGAGCTGAGGTGCCCCAGGGAACAGCCTGGAGGAGTAGGATGCAGGAAGGGATGGATCACAGTGCAGGTTTCCTGTTTGCTGTAGGATTGCAGTTAATCCCTGTCTGCAGGGGTCTTGGTTTTAGTTTCCTGGCTGTTGGTGGGAGCTGTGACAGCCCTTCCAGGTGGCTGTTTGAGGAGGGACCCTGAGGGTCTGTGCTGTTGCAGGGGGGGGCTGTGCCCACAGCCATGGTGCTGAGTCCAGGCTGTGTGTCCAAAGAAGTGTTTATTGCTAGTGTGGAGAAATGCCTCTTTTTGTAGCAATAACTTGGTTTGAAACATGTTTCTTTTTCCTGTTGAAACTTGTGGCAGTGGCTGTATCTGGTTTTGTATGCAAATTAAATGAACATGAGCTTGTTTTGTATGATGGTGATGCCTGTAGCTCTGTGTTTTTCTTGTGGAGATGTTCTGTTGTGGCCCTGGAGATCCAGCTTGAACTTACCTTTCACATCTTCCCCTCTCTTGTCTCTGGGCTGTTTCATGCTTTGTCTTGTCAAGGTAATTTCTGGCAATTTCCAAGACCACTTGAGCTTGCTGTGGCTTTATGGCCATTATTCAATTAAGTACCTGGTCAGGGTATAAAATGCAGGGGCAGAGAGGAAGCTAAAAGACCAAACTACAAAAGCAATTCCTCATGGGGCTCTCAGCCAGCAGGACAGCTTTTCACGGGCTCATATCCTGCCCTTTCATAAACCTGTCATCCAGGCTCCTACAGTGGCTGTCTCGCTCCAGAGCTTTGTCAAGGTTGGTGCAGGAGCTGTGCAAGAGCAGCCCAAGACTGGCTCAGCTGGGAGCCTGTGGGGTGGGCAAAGGTGCTGGGGTCCCTGCTGGAGCAGTGGGGAATTCTCCCTGAGATATGGGGAGATCTGGGGTGCACAGGAGCAGTGCTTAGCTCTGGAGCTGTTCTCTGGCAACTTGGGCTGTGTTAAAATGGGCACTAACTGTGTAGATCAGCTGCTGCTCCTGATTCCTTTGTGTATTTGGGAACAGTGGTGGATTTGGGCACAGAGTGTCCACTGGGGTCCTGCTGGAGTGGCCACAGACAAGGCTCACCCAGGAATCACGCAGGTTTGGAGATGTGCCCTTCCTGTGCCTTCCTTCCCCCTTGTCACCTCCCTCCAGCAGTCCTGGGACACCCAGAGCAGCCCTTCCCAGCTATGAATGTTTGCTCCTTTGGGATTTTTCCCTTTCAGGCAGTCTGTCCTGGGAGACTCAGTTTGTTGGAACTTGTGTTGGAGCACTGCAGCACTGGCTGCCTCTCCCCAAACTGGGCATCCACAGAATCACCCACCTCGTGTGTCCTGGCTGGGGACACCCTGCTGGGAGGCTGCAGATGGGTAACGAGGCCAGTGAAGGGGGTGGTGAGCAGAGGGGGTGTTCAACACCTGCCCTGATGTTGCCAGCTTGGATTGTCTTGCACGCTGCTTTGTTAGGTTAGATGTGGGGATGCCAGGTGACCGTGATGTGTTTGGAGCTACTGGCAAAGCAGAAAAGCCAAAGGTGGTTGGAGGGTGTGTGAGGCACACGGACACGTGCAGGGGCTGGGATGCCATGGTTGTGCTCTGCTAGTGCAGGGAGGGCTGGAGAGGAAGGAGTGTGATTCCTCTACACACTGGGCAGAGAGGAGAGCTGGAGGACTAATGAGGCACAGGAAGAACAGCATGTGGATCAGCTGGCTGTGCAGAATTGAAGCCTGATTGTTAGAGACACATCCTTAAAAACAAAACAAAACCACTGCCAAGCCTTGAGCACCCCCAGTTCCTGCTGTGCACAATCTGCACTTGTATGTCTTTGCCCTCTGGAGAGCTGGGATGCAAAACTATTGGAGAAGGGAGGTCTTTGATGGCAACACATGCTGCCCAGGTAGCTGCCATGTAGGCACCTCTGGGGACAGATCCCTTACCCCACTCCTGAGGCAGCTGCTGGGCAAAGAGCCGAGGGTGGCTCTGAGAAAGCCAAGTCCTCTCTGAGCTGCAGGTGCCTGCTGGGTGTGGGAGGCTCTGCCTGAGTCCTGCTGAGCTGCAGCCCCGAGCAGGGGAGCTCTGCCCTGGCTCGTGGGGCTGGGCTGTCTTTGCACGTCTGTGCACTGCCCTGAGTGTGTACATACGTGGAGAAGAGGATTTGCTTTTCCTGGAATGTCAGAACAGTGTATGTTGGAGAAACTCAGCGATTAGAAGAGCAAAAGGACAGTGCACGATTACTCTGCCAAGATGAACACCAGCCATAAGCTCATTAGGGGGTTTGGCCTCTGCCTGCCAAAGAAGGGACATTTCAGTCCCCAGCTGTGCAGAGACTCCGTGCTTTGCTCCCAGAGCTGTGACTTCCCAGGACAGAGCCCCGTGGAGCCCCAGCCATGCTGGCCAGCCTGATGACAGCACTGTTCTTTGTGGTGAGAGCGTTTCGACAGGTGAGTCTGGGCTGGCCTGGCAGCAGGGAGGATTTATTGCTTTCCATTTTATTTCTAGGAGTGTGTGGGTTATCTTACTAGGGAGGGTAGTGAGCAGTGGGGAATGTGGGTTTGGCTGTTTTTGTGGGCTGGGGATGCCCAGCTCCTGCACCAGTGCAGCTGTGACTGTGCCCTGAACCCCTGCAGTGATGAGCAGACCCTGAGTGGGGCTGCATGTCCTCAGGAAGATGCCTGAGGTGTTGGCTTGGGGGCACGTTTGAGTTTCCATCACTGTAGCATTAGCAGGTGTATCAAGGCCTGGCAGGGTGCAGCTCCTTGTTGTGCCTCTGCCTGCAGGAAGCAAGTGCAGGTGCCTGGGCTTCCCAGTCTGGTGAGAAAGTGCTGCCAGTGTGGACACTGAGTTTTGGAGCTCTTTGGGTTGGGAAGAAAGGAAAACCCCTCTGTCTAGAACTTCTATTCATTGGGCAGAGGAAAGAAAGTGGAACTGGCCATGGGTTGGGATCACTGGGGATGCATGTGGAGGAGCAGGTCTTTCTGTTGCTTCTGCTTCTCTCCTGTCCTCTTACCTGCTGCAAATCCTTTGTGTCCAGTTTGGGAGCCGCCTGTTCCACGAGGAGCCCCTGCCATACCTGGTGTACCAGCCCCTGCCCTGGCAGATCCAGTGTGTGAGCCAGAGCCGCCGCAGCAGCCGGGACAGCGAGGTGAGGGTCCTGGGGGGCAGGGGGCAGGGCAGGGGGCAGCACTGTGCCCAAACTGGCTGCTCAGAGCAGAGGGCTTGGGCAAGGGGGCAGGTTGGTGTCTTTCCCTTGACTGAAAACAGGGTAATGCCAGGAGGCAGGATAAGCTGGAAAATATAGGAAAAGTATTTGTAGGTCCACTGAAGCCTATTTTTTAGGAATGAAAATGTCCCCTAGTAGACCTGACATCCCAGGTGCTGTAGAAGAAATAAACTCAGTAAGTGGCCAATAGATCTCAAAGATGCTACCAGCACATCTCCCAGATCTGATTTCTGATACAAAGCTCTTTTCTGCTTCTCCTTGGAGGACTTCTCACAAATGCAAATGAATTGATCAGTGCTTTGTAAGGGGACAACAGGAAGCATTTGAAAGTTTCCCAAAGGGAAAAGTGGACAGTATAAAGCTTGTGAGACTGGCCTTGTACCTTTTGGAGCTTCCCAAAGGAACTGTTCTCACTGCCTCGGCCTGATACAGAACAAACTGTGTTGTATTTTTGTTCTCTACCTTTCTAGAGAGGCAGAAGCTCTCGGCACAACAGCGTCTACTCGATTTCTGAAGAGAAAGGTGAGTGTGGAGCAGGGAGGCAGGCTCTGCTAGTCAATGCCCCCCCTGCAGAGGGTGTCCCTCCTGCTGCCATGGGAGGGCATGGGAGCTGGTCTGGATGGAGAGGTGCTCCTTAAAACATGGAACATCACCAAGTGAAGGGCCCAGTGTTGTATGGTTGAACAACAGTATGTTTGTGTGTGTGCAGATCCCTCCTTCCCTCTTGCCACAAAATCTGCCCCACTGAATCCCTGGGGTACCTGTCCCCTAAACCAGCCCTGCTGCCCCTTCTCCTTGACCTGGCAGAATTCGGGAACTTGTAGATTCACCTCTGTTTCTGCCTCACTCTTGTCTCCCAGACTCTGCCCCTCAGCTGAAGTCAAGCACTCAGCAAAGAGGATTTGGGTGCTTCTATTTTCAGGGTGGCAATCGGATGACGGGGGTGGGGGGATGGGGCTGGGTGCTGCCAACCAGGGCACAGCAGCCAGGGTGCAAACACCCCCCAGTGTGTGTCCCAGTGGCTCCTCAGCCTTCCTGTTGGATTTTCATGGTGGGCAGGATTTATGGCTCACCATGTGTCTTGTGAACAGGGCAGGAGGGAGCTGGTTCCCAGCCTGGACTCTTCGTGTGTATCTTTTGAGTTTGCAGTTTCTTTTAGGATGTGAATAAAAATAGGTTCAGGTGACAGTGGTGAGTTTATCCAGCAGCATCTGGCACCAGGATTTCTGATGGCTGCTCAGGGGGTGCTTAGCAGTGACACAGTCGCTTACAGGAGCACTGCTGAGTGCTTTGATTCAGCTCCTGTTGAATTTCACAATACTTCCCTAATGCCACATTAAGGTTGGGGTGGGGAAGGATCCCATTTGTCAGTGTGAGAGCTTTATTGCTGTGCAGTGCCGGGCTTCTTTCTAATCTTATTTGTGTGCGTGAAAGTAAGTGAGTATCATACTTGGTGATTAAACGTGGGGGAAGCTGAGGCCTTTGGGGAGGAAAGCTGTGTAAACAGAGGGCTCAGCAGTGCCAGGGGGGCTGGGCTTCCTGTGCCTCCTGCTCCAGCTCCCTCTGCCCTGGAGATGCTCCCTGTGAGCTGGCAGAGTCATGGTTTCATGCCGTGGCCTCTCCAGCCTCTTCCACCTCTGTAAGGGTGTGAAGCTCTCCCATCTGTGGGCTCTCTTCAGGGACCCTGGGGTGCACGGGGGCCGGGCTGACCCCCGGGAGGTGATCAGAGCCCTGTCCTGCTTGTGGAGTCTGTTCAGGGCTGAGCTCACTGCGATGCTTTGTTCTCATCCCAGGCAGCCTGAGCCCTGAGGCCAGCAGCGAGGGCAGGTTCTTCAGTGATGCTTCTGAGAAGGCAGCCCTCACCATCCAGAACCACTTCAGGAGATACCAGCAGCAGAAGGAGGAGAAGTAGATGCCTCGGCCACCCATGTCCTGCACTGTCCCTCCCTCCTGTCTTTCCTGGCTTTGTGGCCGTGGTGACTGTGCTCCTGCTCCCTGCTGTGTGCTCCTGGCACATGTGCAGCTGTAGATCCTCTGCTGGTGGTGCTGGGAGTGAGCAAGGTGCTGACCCTGTGCTGACTGGGCCTGTCTTGATGAGTCAAGCTCCTTCTACAGACAGCCCTGGGTTCAGTGCCCACTGTCACCCAGCCACCCTGTTCTGTCCCTTGGGCCAGCAAAGCCTAACTGCTCCCAGGCTGGTGGGGGCAGCACCCCAAGGTTGTCCTGGGTTTTAGCATCACTTTCCCAGTGCAGACTTTTGGAGCATGTGGAGTTGTTGAGGAAGAGAGAACATTAAAGCCCCAAGCTCAAGTAAGGGCCAGTGGAGAAATGGGAGGAATCATATAATAGAATCATAGAATGCCAGGTTGGAAGGGACCTCAAGGATCATCTGGTCCAACGTTTTTAGGTAATAATATAGTTCAAATGAGGTGGCTCCCTGTCAAGCTGAGTCTTAAAACTGTCCAGTATAGGGGAATCCACCACTTCCCTTGGGTGATTATTCCAGGAAGTTTGCTGTGAGCAGAGAGGGGTGGATTTCTCTTTGGATTTCTGAGCCCAATGGGGTTTTTGGCCCATTTGCTGTTGAGGGCAGAGTTTGGCCAGTGTGGCTTGGACCTTGAACCTTCCTCCAACTCCTGGTTGGTTACCAGGCCACTGTGGTGAGGGCCAGTGGGCACACTGGGAACAGGGGGATGCTGGGGTCCTGTGGCTGCCAGCTGGAAACTTGGAGCATCTTAAACTACACAAAGCCAGGGCTGGTAAGTGCTGGGGAAGGGAGGGTGGAGAATTCTTGCTAAGATCTAGAAGGAAATCTGTACTAGCCAATTACAATAAAGATGTATTAATCGGTGTTAATCTGTTCTTCTTTTTATCTTGCTAATCCTCTTACTCTCCCAGCTGAGAACACACTTGTCTTTTCTTGTCTTTTCTATTTTAAGTCTGGGATTGGTGTTTCCAAGGTGCTGCATGGTTGCTCAGCTGGGACGCTGCGTTGAGGTGGTGGTGGGTTCTTGGTTTAACATCTGTACTGTGTAAATGTTTTTTGAAGTCTAACGTGCACTGAACTGTTTTTGAAATCCTTAGAAAAATGCTTGAGGAATGCCAGCTTGCTTGTCAACACCTCCCACTGATCTCAGGGAGAGGCAGAAGGGTCAGGACTGGTTTGACTCAGTTGAAGGCAACGGTAACCAGGGTAAGATGGATCTGATTTGAGGATGAATTGATGTGGCTGCTGCTGTGTGGGCCCATGGGTGCCCTGGCTTGACAAGAGGGTCACGACCCATCTGTATTTTCCCTTGACGAGCTGCTTAAGCTCCCTCTGCTTCAAAGAGACTCCCTCAGAGCTGCAGGGCAGGATCTTCAGCGTTTGATTGCCTCACTCATGTCCTGGGTACAAATGCTGTACAAAGTCCATGCACTCTTTGTGTGCTACACTGGAAACTCACCATGTTTTTTTCTCCAAAAACCTGGTAAAATTGAACGGATAAGAAAACTAACGCACAAAGGGATTAATATTAAAAAAAACAACCCCAAAGTACTGGAGAAGAACCCTGTTCCACACGCTGAGATGGAGGCTGCCTCGGTGCTCTTCATATGGTTTCTTGGTGCACCAAATGCTCCAGATGCAGTTATCCAGATCCACGCCCAGCACATGGCAGAGGCAGAGCTGCTCAAGCCACAGTTCAGACAGAGAAAAGCCACATACTGGCATGGCTGAGTTCACCAAAAGCATGCTGAAAAAGAAGCTTTGTAGGGAAGTAAGGTGTTGGTGGGGCTTCTAGTGCAAAAACACACATGGAAAATATCAATCCTGGCACTTGGGGCATGATCCCTGATGCCTTTCCCATGGCCTGTGCAGGAAGTGTGTCCTCTCCACCTGGGATGCCCTGGGCCAGGAGATGGCTCCGAGTGTGACCAGAATTGTCTCCCAAACTGATGAAAAAATGGACACAAGGAATTGCTATAGCAGCTTGTTTCCTGAGCCTCAGGCATGGATGGCTGCCAGGCTGTTGCCAAGGCACTTTCAGCTCTGCTGGGTTTAAGAGTTACAACCAGATGGCAATGGAGGATCAGCTGAGCAGTGTGACAAGGCAAGCAGGTAAGGGAACTGCAAGCTGGACATGGAAATGGCAGCTAGTGTCACTAGAAACCTGCATTTGCATATTGTTTGGGTTGTACATTTACAAAAAACACCTAAATCTAGGAATGAATAGATGGAGCTGGTGGGTAGCAAGCATGGATGGTGATGAAAAGGTTACCTTAGAAATTACAGGCAATAATAATGAAATAAACGTGTGGTTAGTTACTTAGACCTTAAATGGCACCAGAACCTCCTCTGGAAGGTGAAATTCAAGTTTGAGTAACTAACTAGATGTCAATAACAGCCTTGGATATTTTTGTCTCCGTGGGGCAGGAGCACAGGTAAGGAAGGCCCTGGATTGCTAGCCCTGTGTGTCCTGGGGTCTGCTGCAGCAGGTGCTGGACTCTGGGACGGACTGGGGCTGTCCCAGGCTGTCCCTCCCCATCCTCCCAGGAGGGTCTGCAGGAGCTGCTGCCCGGCTCGCTTAACAACACCCCTTTATAAACATAACCTTTATTGCACACAGCGCTGGGTTTTTTTTCATAGAAAAAGGTATTAACACATAAGCATTTGCAAATTGAAGCAACTCCTGTTGTTTTCAGAACAGTAAAACAGCATGCAATGTCTCGGATTCCTTTTCAAAACCACCAACAAGATCAGGGAGAAAAAAAAAACAAAACAAGTCGCTGAGTCTTTCCTTGTGCCCCTTCCAAAATGATGTGAAATATATATATGTTTACATATATATTATATTTTTAAATCTGTAACATCAAATTCTTTGTGCCCTGGTTTCTTTTTCTGTTCGGAGAAGAAGAAAATAGCTTCATTTATACAAAAGAGTCCATTATGTACAAGTTTGTTAATTAAATAAAAATGGCAGGGGGTGGGGGGGAAATGAGCGGCGTCCGTGGCGGGCGGGCTCTGCTGCCGCCCTACACCAGCGTGTAGGACTTGGAGTAAGCCCCGGCGCCCTGTTTTTGAGACCGGCCCACACCCGATGTGCTCATTTCTAGGAGTGAGTCTCTGGAGCCCCCCACTTTGGATTGCGGGGGTCCCCGCGCCT